CAATATTTTTTAATACAGAAATATTAGGGCTGTCTCCAGCAGCTGTGAGTCAAGACCTTGTCACGAAAACATGGTATTGTTATAAGTTTTTTCTTTTCTGTTTTGGTACCTTCTTCTTTTTGTTATCTTGATTAGATGCTTGCTTTCTCTTAACTGCTCCATGCTGATCTCAAACTGAAGACGGTGTGTTTTTATTTGGGAATTGCTAAGATAACTGCAGTAAAAGCACAGACAGAGTTGATGGAGTTCTTTCTTACCAAATTGTTGTAGTCATGTCATGCTCTCATGCTGGAATCTCTTATGCAGCTAGCAGAAATGCCTATCCTCTTATGTCATGCTCTCATGCTGGACAAACATAGACTCATGCTTACTGTGAAGAATTTTGTCATGTTCATCTTTTTCTGTATGTTTCATTTGGTCTTTCACTGTGATATCTAGATGCCCTCTATAAACATCATGCATGTCTTTCTTATGAAGTAATATAATCTTAGAACCAGTCAAAGCACTATTTCATTTTTGTTTTTTTTATAGTTTGGTAATTGTAATTAAGGTGAGTGTCACTGTTTGACATCAAGTATCTGATATCTTGCGACTATTTATCACTTAGTGTTGCTAGGAAAGCCTGGATAAAGGGAGACTATATTAAATAGGAATTGCTTAGCATCACGAAAAACAGCATATTTCGAAGTCGAAACCAGATTAGGCCATTGATCTAACATTCTTTTTAACTCCACAACAGTTAATTGGAACAATAAGTTTGTCCGAGTGGGATGGTAAGAAGCAGTGGCGAAGCCACATGGTGATAAGGGGGGTTAATTGACCACCCTTCGTCGAAAAATTGCACTATGTACATAGGTAAAATATTACGTTTTAGAGGTATATAACACATGCTGAACACCCTTTGTTGAAATTTTTTTCGCTTCTTTTAAATTTGATTACCCTTGGGGAAATTTCTAGTTTCGCCACTGGTAAGAAGGTAAGGGAGCAGCACTCAGTGTTTCCTTGTTGTTAATCAAAGTAGATAGCAGTAAGAAACAAACCTATAAATATCATAGCAATAGCACCAGAAATTGGAAAACTTTGCCTCCGAAAATAACAGTATGAATACAACAACAACGACAACAACAAAAAACCCAGTGTAATTGTACACAGTAGGGTCTGGAGAGGGTAGAGTATACGCAAACCTACACCTACTTTGTGAGAGTAGAGAGATTGTTTCCGAAAGACACACGGCTCAACGAAAAAAAGAATAAGAAGCGGAAATAACAATTAATTGGAACAAAACACTTGCAGCTGATAGCAGAAAACTGCAGCTGCAACATGGTTCCAAAATGTGACGAGACCCGTCCTAGGCTCTAAGGTCCCAACCCAAACCATTCCAACAAGTCTCAAAGAGTAATATTGACTATCACAAATGCTCAAAACTAGGGGTTGGGTTGTTACAGGTTCTTCAGCAAGACGATTCGTAAGTAAAAACATCCCATTATGCTTGGAATATTCAATCTAAAATACTTTTGGGACTACTGCTATTTTTACTCATAGGTGCCAAGAAACTTCAGCAGACCTTTGAGATAAATGCAAACAAACATATCATAGAAGTAAATAGTGATTGTCAATGATTGTCACTTTTTCGCACAACGTGCTTAACAATCCTTCCTTGATATATCAGGATTTGGTCATGGGATGATAAAGGAATCAATTCATGACTGTATCTTTCTGGTAGAATCATTGGTTTCATATGTAAATATGAGTGTATCGAAGAGGCAAGGACAACCAAGAAAGTTCAGCTGTGATAGAGTAGCTTGTCGCACCATCTGACTAAAGTTTATCAAAGTTACAAAAGCATACACTTAAATTTTCAGTTCAAATGTGCCTCATCCGTTGATGTACATTTATGAACTGTGCCTCATCCGTTGATGTACATGTATTTCCATCCAAGATGTGCTACATGTCATAGTTATTAAAAAAAAAGGTACAGAGACGTGCAGAACATTGAATCTGGGAGATTAATGGAAGAGACAGCCGAAGGTTACTTGATGGATCTCATTAGCAGTAACGTGGTAATGGTTTCAAGCAGAAGATATAACGGTAAAGTCAAATACTGCCAGGTTCATGATGTAGTGCTTCACTTTTGCTTGGAGAAGAAAAGTTTATGTTGGTTTTGAGAGGGAAAATTCAACCTTCCGATTTATAGGTAAGTCGAGTGAGTTTCAGTAATGAGCTTTCCATGTTTGCATCCAAAACGTGGAAGCCTTTCCACCAACACTTGAGGTCACTGATAACCACCAATAGAGGAGAATCTTTATATTGGAATCCCTGCAGTCAGGTTATTAATTTGATGAGACTTCTTAAGGTCTTGGATTTGAGTTCCCATAAATTGGGTCATTTGTCGTTAGCTAAGTTCGAAACAATGATTCACCTCAAGTACGTCGCACTTTTCACAGATAAATTCGATTTTCATGGAAAATCATATCCGCCCCATCTAGAAACTTTATTTCTCAGGTGTTTAATGCGTACACTTGCTTGACGTGGAGTGTCAGCATCTAAATAGGCTCAGCGGTAATCTTGCTTGCCGTGGAGTGTCAGGTCGTGGGTTCGAATCAGCCTCTCTGCAAAGCAGAGGCAAGGCTGCCTAGAGTATTCCCTTCCCGAGACAATACCCACGAATGGGTCGGCCCTGTTTAATGCGTACGCAGTTATCAGCGAATTTTTGGAAAATGAAAAAATTAAGGCATGTAGAGTTTACTGAAGCTTTGTTTTTATGGGGAAAGCAGATCTTTGAAGAATCCTCTAAGTTGGAAAATTTGAGGTTATTAAGGGGTGTTGAAATTACACTTGATTCTGATTGCTTGAATGTATTAGTACAGAGGTGTCCTAATCTTCAAGAACTTGCGGTCTATATCCAGAACATTATGAAGTTAAACAAAAATAACAGTATGAATAAAACAAACTTTTGAAGTCTATATAATATGAAGTTAAACAGAATATGGGCATAGAGGTTTTAAGAGGAGAAACATATGCAAAGCTGCACATTTAGGGTGTGTTTGGTATGACGGCCAATTTTCCCATTTTCTGCTACCTAACCAAACACTAGAAAATAACTAAAGAACCAAGTGTTCTCCAAGAAAATATTTTCCTTCATACCAAACACATCCTTGGAGATGAAGATGCTGATCGTATGTGCATGATTTAAGCTTTTGGTCTCTACTGCAAGGAGCTTGGCGTAACCGGTAAAGTTGTTGCCAATGTGACTAGGAGGAGGTTATGAGTTCAAGCCGTGGAAACAGCCTCTTGCAGAAATGCAGGGTAAGATTGAGTACAATAGATATTTATGATCCTGCCCTTCCCCGGACCCCGCTCATAGTGAGAGCTTATTCCACCATCCACTCTATGTCTTCCTTCACAGTTTGGCAAGCTAGGGATACATATGGAAGTATGATTTATAAATTATATTCGTCGTAGAAAGAAAACAATATTGTAGAAGCGGTTTTGCTCCTCAATCGCTATATTCCAGCTGACAGCAGAAAATTGCAGGTAAAGACTCAGCTTATTGAACCATCTGATTAAAGTTACCATAGTTACACAATCCATATGTTCGCTTAATTTTCAGTTCAAATGTGCCTCATTAGTTGATGCCATATGTTCGTTTATTTCCATCCAAGATGGGTTGCAGGTCATACATATAAACAAAATACGTACCTGCAATAACACAACAGAATTCATATATCATTGACGGAGGATGGCGCATATCTCTAAGTCTTCCTTTATCCTGGAAGAAGTTGCCCATTCTGAATAAATGTTGGTTGAACGATACAATATCCAGCCTCTACATTTTGAGTTCAGTATAGTAGTCGACTGAATACTACTGAAATATTCTTCTAGCAAGAAGTATCTCATCATCAGCATCATCATCTCACAAACAGAATAATAGGAAACTACTGCAATTGCTAGGAGTGGCTTACATGATCATCGCGTTATAAGCGACTGACTTGTATATTAACTAATGCAACCATTAACTAATAATATACTAAGCAATGTCATTCATTAACAGATGTAACTATTACTTTTGAGGCCAATGGGAATGGATTATAACCTGCCAATTAAAATGATAGCCTCTGTTACTAATAAAATACTGCAACCATTGACTTTTGGTAACACTTGGATCCAGTCCATATACATTATACATGATTTTGGTTGAAGCTGATATTAATCTTTCCTAAAAGAGAAAGCTTTCTTCCTTCCGACCTTTATGCTGATATTAATCTTTTCTTCTTAGTTATAGTTATCATTAGAAGTTTTCTCCTACTGCAAATTTTGGTCTTTATCAGGTATATTTCAGTGAACTTTCTAATTTCACTTGACATGTTACATCCGAAAATCTTGTTCATGCATTTAGTTGGATCTAAAGATATACTTTATTTTGTTGATCTGATCATTTTTACGACTTTTGTCAATCTCATTTTACCTCTGAATTCTTTTTTCCCTTTGGTGGAACCTGCTTAGCATTTTAATTATACTTAAACTCCATTTCCTTTTCTTGTTTCAAAATCTTTAAGTTGGTTTCACTTGCAATTTGAAAGTCATGTTCTCATTTTGCTACTATTAATGGTCTTTGTTGTGAAAAAAGGAGGTTTGTGCTTTAGAGTCAATGCCTAAAGTCGAAGCAACATTTACAATAAAGTAACAAAATTTCTATATCAAGAACTGTAGCTTCTAACAGTAGATGCTGAAAGACATGAACAAAAATGTTGCTCTGGTTGAAACTAATATTCCAAGAGTTTGATGAATATTCGTAGCGTCTAACATAATGACATTTATGATATGCTAGATCACCTAAGAAGGATCAAGAGTGGAGGTGATCTGAATAGTGTCAAGATTGATCAAATTGTGACACTTGAAATGGAGCTAAGATTTTTTAGAACTTTCCTCAAATACCGTCATGTTCTTTCTCATGATTCCTTAGTCAAAATGACAAAGAAGGCCCAATTGATTGTGGAAATGCTTCAATCAGTTTTTGATGGTAACATGGATAAATGCAAAACTAATCTAAATGTGGAAAGGCTAGTATCACATTTGTTAGAATTCAAGGAAGATAATACCAGTGCAAGGTCCAATTAAGAGCTGGATCATTCCTATCTGTCAGAATATATGGATTACCTCGACAAAAATGAAAATGATGCGGGGAGGTATCTAGTCAAGTCTGACCCTTTTTTGAGGAAAGGAATCAAAATCCTTCATAAGACAGATCGATTTTTAAAGCAAGTGAAAATCATTCAAAAGAGAATGAGATTTTTGAGATACTAGTTGTAACACTCCTCAAATTTATAAAAAAATTTTGAGACACGTTAACCATAGAACTAAATCATTACTATTTTTATTTTTTTTATCTTGCCTATATATATATATATATATA